CGCACCCCGCATGAGCTGAGCAGGCTCCTTGGCTGCCCTTTGCCATCTGGGACATGACAGTCCCCACACTTCAGTGGGTGACGGGTCCACGTGGTGCTGGCCCAGAGCAGGGAGCGCAGGCCTGGGCCAGCCCTGAGTCCCAGGGTTTGCAGACCTGGCAGGAGACAAGCTCTCTGATCCGGTGCCCAGGCCGACTGGCCAACAGCAAGGCCTGGAGAGGGGTGATGGAGCTGCCCCAGCCTCGCCCCTGCCTGCACACTGCCCTGCCCCTCCCCCACCAGACACCCACCTTCAGGCCAGAATAATGGGATCCCTGTAAAGAAAGGTCATTGCGCCTTATCAGGGCTGCACCGAGGACACACAGTCCTGTCTGGGGCAGAATTCGTGGGAAGGGCTGAGGCTGAGAAGGAACCAGGGGAAAGGTGGGCTCCCCTTCACACCCCACCTTCAGGAGGGAGGTGGAGGGTCATCCCGCAAAGGCTTGGGGACCCCATGGTGGGGTGTGTGGGGGGGGCAGTGTCCAGCCCCGCCTCTGATGGCTGTGTGGCCTCCGCTATCCATGCGTGTCTCCGAGACCCTATTTGTAAGTGGGGGTTTGCTGGGGGGGAGGGGGAGGGTGCCTGCAGAGGCCGACAGGTGTCTGGTTGGCACTCTCCAGCACCCAGCGTGACCGGCCAGCCCGGCTGTGCTGGAGGGCCAGGGTTCCTGGGCGGGGGGTGCGGCTCGGCCCGCTAGGGGCTCTCCGTAATTGGTGGGACCAAGAGAAGCAGGCCCTGCGGTCTGGCCGCCGCCACCACCATGCACCTGCTCTCATACCTCTGCCCGAACCAAGTGGGGTCTGAAAGGACTCGGGGAAAAAATGCTCTGAAGTCACGCAGAAGCTCAGGGATCAGGCAACATAAGCCCACCTGCTTGGTTCCCCACCTGCACCCTCCACGGAGCGGTCAGCAGGTCCCAGGGAAGGACGCAGCCACCGGTTAAAGGACAGCAGCCCATGTCAATGCCACACACCCGCGGTTCAGGAACTGGCTCACGCCCCAAGTGACCAGAAGGACAGAGGAGGCCACCCAGGTCTCCAGAGCCACCCCACAGTGGTCACTCTGTGCCCCAGCCCAGCAACAGCTGCCCTCCCCAGAGAGCAGGCACCAGCATGAAGGTCCAGACACGTGCTGGGCCGCTGTCCCCGGATGGACCGGTCACATGGGGCTCAAACTGGGCAGCCCCTGTGAAAGCAGCAGCCTCCTCAGAGGGCCCTGGCATGCCTTTTAGCACGTGGGGCGTCCCCCATGTGCCCAGACTGGTGTGCAGGGCTTTGGACCTGGGGCTTTTCTAGTCCTTCTGCCATTACGATGGACTCGCGAGCACCCCGGGCCCTTCCGTACGTTTGCTCCCACCTGATGATTCTTAGGACACAAAAGGTGGGGGTGGAGGGCAGGTCTCATCATCCCTTTTCAAAGATGCAGAAACCAAGGCCCCAAGAGAGGAGTTCTCGTGGCTCCAGCCACGCCCGGGGCCTGTTAAGGTGGCACAGCTTCAAGCCCTCAGCGCCCCCTGCACGGTGCAGAGGGCTGAGGGTAGGGACAGAAAGGAGGGCAGGGGGTTGGGGCCGGGCCTCCCCAGACAGACATTCCCCAGACATGGCAGTGGAGTGGCCGGGGGCAGGAAGCGGCTTCGCCTGCCTAGGGGACAGGGACGGCCGCGCCTCAGGGTTCTCTGACTCAGCCCGGTCATGTGGCTGTGGGTTAGGGCTGGCCTCTGGCACCCGCCCACCTGGCCTCCTGACCGACACCCGTCCAACAGCAAGCTCAGTGCCACGGTCAGCTGACCTGGGCACCGCCCACTCGCCACTTCCTCTGTAGCCGACCACTCTCCTCCCAGTTCTCGGGAGCCCC